CATCAGAAAATCACTATAAAATCTAGACTTTCAAAAGCTCAGTCTACTAGGCAAGTCCTCCACAGTAATATGATAAAACCATTTTTCCTACCTCTGGAAAATGTCCTGTAACGTGTCTCGTGTAAAGGCATTGCTGTCCTGGAAGACATTATTGAGAGCATGGAGGGCACATAACTCTCTGCGTTGTTTTTCATGATAAATGTGCACTGGCATCACCTGTGGCGTTTCTGGCGATTCCAATTTTGTTTTGTCACCTTTCCATGGCACGCAACTCATTTTTTTAAAGTGGTGTTGATGTGAAGATTGGAGATAATGTTTCTGAAGGTTCTTTTTGTACAAAAGAAACAAAGAGCGAACTGCCCTTTTCTTTATAGACAACTTGAGCAAAATAATAGGCCGGCAGTTGATTTCAATTGTTGTCTTTATTGGATAGCTGCAAAAGCAACTTCAAAATTTGAACCATTCTTCTACCATTCTCCTACTTGCTTCTTTAACTTGAAGAAATTGCTTTTAGTCTATTGTTCACTTCTCCTCTGATTTTTCCCTTGAAAAATTGTTTGAGATAATTTAGCACAGGAGTGTCAGACTGAATTGATCACATCGCTCCTTCTCCTCCATTTCTTTTGGTTAACGATGACTGTAAAGCCAAGATCCACGGCCCACCTCTTTCCCCAATATAGGAAAAGACAGTCTGAAATTAAGCAAGCCCAGGCTTTTGTTACTGTTCATAAACAACACCAGGCCCCCAAGGAAAGTATCAAGTGCATCTCTGCATTCTGGAAAGAGTTAAAGGGCCTCCAAAAGACAGAAATCAAAAGGCAGGGAAGAAGCTACTTCTCTCAAGATAGGAGGAAAATGAAAAGCAACTGATCCACCTTCGATAAGCAAAGATTCCTTGCCTGTCCTTGCATTCCTGATGGAGAAAGAAAATATTCAATTAAGCATAAGATTTTGCTCCTTATTGTAGCGCGCAGGCAAGGAGCATCAATTTTTGAAACAGCTCCCAAATAGGCTTCTCAAGCCAGAAACGCTCCCGAACGAACACAACAAAGATCCAAGGCCTGCGCTTTTCTAGCCAAGAACCACCCTGGAGAAAGCTCTCAATCAACCAACACTTTTGGATCCTTCACCGCGACGAGCTGTCACGCGCTGTCAGAAGGAAAAGCCTCCGGAGCCTACGTGTGGTTCAAGCGTGCGTGGCCGAGGAGGGGACTTGGGTGTTTACAATCCCAGCAATCCTGGCTTGTCCTCTCCAGACCGCAGCGGTGGAGCCAGCAGGCCCTTCAAAGCGCCCCTCGCTTTCTCAAGGTGGGCAAACCAAAGCTCGGGAAAGTCCCTCCTTCCAGGGGAAAATAAGGGCGGCGGCGGCGGCGGTGGAGCGAGATGCCTGCCGCGCTTGGACCTAATCGAGACCCCCCCCCCACTACCCGCGAGGACGGCGACCGACCAGGGGGACGCTGCGGAGAGGATTCCCCTACCCGAACAGCCCCCGAGATCTACCCGCTTCCTTCCAAACCCAAGAACCAGGCTCCCCGCCGGAAGGGAACGGGAACGGGAACGGCCCTCTTTCGCGAGCTTAGTCCGATCGTCCCGAGGCTCTACTCACCTTCTAGGTAGCAGCCCCAGCCTTCTTGGACCAACAGCCACCTACCAGGCGGCGCATGCGCAGCCCTGCACGAAGTCCTGGCCCGTCGCGCCAACGCTCGCTCGGCCCCACCGCAGCCTTACGTCGCGAGCGTCAGTGCTCCTGATGTCAGAGACCGTCCGGTTTCCATCCGCCTGCTGGAGGGCGGCCGCTGTTCGTCGCTGGACGGTGGTCTGTGTAAATTGAATTCTGCCTATCGCAGGCTGCTGGAGGACTCGGGCCACCAATCTGCATTTCACGTAGACGGAGTCTGCTATATCAGGAATTCCGTTTTGATTATGACATTCCTTTATGGGCTCGTTTCAAGAGCGTGGCTGGAATGAAGATAAAATGGGAATTAGTCCTTCCTGAGCTCCATAGAAGATTCTGCATGTACACACCGCTCTATTTTTAATCTGATTGTCTCCTCATGTACTGGAATTCCTTTATCTTTATTGAGCAACATCCTGATGTGTGTAGTTATTAATTTAAAGCATCATCCGCCTTCCTCGTTACCATGAAATATTTCCATTATAAGAATGGGTGGCTACTACACCTTCTACTCTGTCAGTCTCTTTGTTGCCTTTTACAATTCCCTGCCCAACTGTATTGTCCAGGTTTGTGAGTGCCTCATTATAAAGGCAGGATTGGTTTTCTCTGGATTTCTATCATTTCCCTTCAAAGTACCATCATTCATCCACAATGGGAGAACTGCACTAGGAAAGTATTGGGTGTGGCAACTGCACAGTTCTGCAGCATCTGGCTTCTAGATCAGTTTGCTTGTCCATCCCATGCACCATTTGAACCTCTTACAAGATAAAAAAATAACTTGACAGTAAGCACAATGGGAAAGTGACTTATTCTAAAAGTGTATGTATCTCTATTTTAATTAACTGAATAGTGCCAGATTCATGTTTGGACAGACATAATTAGGTAACTGCAAGGAGACATCTATAAATCTGGATGAAACAAATACCCAGAAAGCCCTTTGACTCTTAATGATTAAGTAGGTGAGGGACTGGCTGAAACTGATAAATACACATAATTATAAATAACCCAGGCTCATTATCCCTCATTTTAGTGTTCTATAATCTATAACATACAAAGCAAGTTAGTATAGTGATTAAGGAGTGGACTGTCATGGGGAGAACCACGTTCAAGTGCACCCAGAACCATAGAAGCTCACTGTGTAATTTTGAGTTGAGTTTTCCTCTCAGCCTGACCTACCTCACAACATTGTTGTGCAGCAAGGGGAGAGGATGATATATACCACTTTGAGATCCTAAAAAAAAGGTGGGATATAAATAAAACAAACAAATAATAAAAAGCAGGGATGTTGCATCTCACCTAATGCCATTTTGGAACTGAGCAAGTACACAACTGCAAAATTTACCCCTTCTTTCAGGAATAAAACAATGGAGCTCCCAAGCTGTGACAGGGCAAAATCAGATTTTTAAGGGAAAAATCACTTGTATGCCAGTGTAAAAAATAACTATTGAATGTTATTAAAATAAAGAAGTTGTAATAAAATGAGTCTAGCCTTTTCTGATCAAGGAGGAACCAAGAGGTTGACAGGGCATTATTGTGCTACTGTAAAATGGCTATTGGAGAAAGAGCCAGTGTATCACAATTATGACGGGATCTTGCTGCCTGACATCAGAACAAAGTTTTCTATCAACATGCATTCAAAATTACTTTGGGAATAAAGATAGTCAATGTTTATCCAAGTACTGAAAAGATCCTATATCTCATCCATTCTTATCAGATCTTACTGCTCATTTTCTGTTAAAAAACTGGGAACTCCAAAGTAATTTCAGATTCATCACTTGACTAAAAGTTTGTTTTTCCATTATCAACCCATATATAATACATTTCATAAACATGGCATTATATTCTGCTTCAGAAAATATTGTGTGGATTTACTGCACTTTCTTCCATATGAAAGTGTTGATTTTAAAAAAATGGGAACTGAAAACAAAAACGCTGACTGTAGTTGAGTGCAAAATATTGATATGTCATACATTTTTCTACATATTTGACTTTAGTAATAAAAGGAACTTGAAAAAGAATTACACAATTTTTTATATTCTGAACCACAGTGAAGTTTATTATTTCTCCTCAAGAAGTGGCTACTCATCCTCTTAAAAATCTCCAGAGATGAAGATCCCACAACCTTCACTAACCCTAACCCTGGCAGGGAAAAAAAATGGTAAACCTAAACTATGAAACATGTTTCAGATATAACTACTAAATTAGATGTTTCCTGTTTTTGCTTTCTGAGAACTGGTGCGGTGAAAAATCCGTTGCAGCAGTCTTCCCATTACCAAGAAACATCTGTTCTTGTATATAGTATGGGGAGGGGAATCACCAAATGGCATCAGCATCCGATTCTGGGTTGTCAAGTCATGGATCCCTGCTTCATTACATAAACATATCAATTTGGAGCCGATTACAGACAACAAGCTTCCCCATGGAACATAGTCTCTAGGGCTGCATTTGCACAAAAACACTTTAGCTTTAGCTAACAAGAGATCTTGAGATTATAGGATTACTTACTTCTATGAATAAACATTTTACTTCCAAATTCAGATACGTCCCAACGGCATCTCTACCAAATCCACAACGAGGCTGCAAAACAAAGACGTGTACCGTACAATAGAGATTTTTTTTCTCTGCCAGAGTTAAAAGTCACGAGAAACCTCTGTTGCTACTGGTAGGATAAGAGTATCTCTGGACAGGGAGCCTCCATCCCCGATTTTTGACAGACACTATCCCGGACGAAACAACTGGTAAACAGAGGAGGAGAAATCCCATTTAACCACACAGTACTGTAGAAGGGTTTCCAAGTGTATTGGCTTTCGCTTAGATAGGTAGCTTTCTTATCGACCCTTCTCTCCTCTGGCTCGGTCTAAGCCAAGGTTGACTACCCCTGGTCTAAGCTATGGCCAATGATTGGTGAAGGCTCGGCCTCTTCCAGAGTTTCTTTAAATCAAATCCTTTAAAAACAGGATTGGGAAACCTCTATGTTTGTCCCAGCCGCCAAGGGGGACACGCTTAGCATGTGCTTTTCTCGAGTTTCTAGGCGACATTCATAAACTAAACCAAGACCGCCGCCGCCCGCTTGCGGTCTCCTTCCAGCCTGAAAAGAAGCGGAAAGAAAATATTCGCAAGAGGCGTGGCTCATACATATTAATCGATTCTAACGCGGTCGTCATAGCAATACAGGAAAGGTTATTGACGGCCCTGCTCCCTGATTGGTGGGCGAAGGACTAAATGACTGAACCACCTGTTTGGGTGGACGCTAAGAGAAGCCCTGCTGGCTTCTTGAAAGTAATTTTCGCCCGAGTGGGCGGGGTTTATACTAATGAGGCCGGGGAAGGAGGCTGGCGCTGCCAAGATGGCGGCGGAAAGGAGTCGCTCTCCGGTGGGGGGCTCGCCAGTGCCGGCCTCGATGTTCGCCCCCGAGCCCGTGGCTCACGGTGGGACAGTGGCGGCTTTCTCCAGGCCTCACGGCGGCGTCGCAGAAGTTGACTGCAGCGAGGACGGCGAGCTGCTCAATGGAGAGCCGGAGCTCGATCTTACCAGCAAGGTAGGCCTGGAAGGCTGGGGAGGAAAGCTGAGACGGCCGGAGGAGATGAGGTCGGCTGTGACTACTCCGGGTCTCGCTCCTTTGGCCGTCTCAGTCGTTCATTTGAGCGGTTCGCTCTCTTACCATCAACTTACCATCAACACCGGGTCGGTCCTTGTTCTGATAGCCTTTTCGGGAACTTCATTCGGCGTCGCTTCACTAATATAGTGTAGGTGAATTTGCTTGGAGATCATAAAAGGTTGGCTTCTTCTGCCCTTGTCACGGATAAGAACTGTGAGACGCGTGTCTCTGAAAGAAAATACTTACGAGGGTGTAATAAAGGGTGCTTCGCGGGATCTGAGTCGGAGTACGTGGCATTCACCCTTGGCACGTGTCTTGTTTCAGAAAGTTAATACATGTATGGTACTCCTGAATGAGTTTTCCCATAAATAAGGAAAATGTGGGACTCTTCTGCAAACAACTTTAGAATTGTAACCTTGTTTAAATTTTTTTCTAATACGTTCACTCCTTGTTTTAAAGTTGAGGTACTGTAGTTATGTGTATAGACATTTGGGTACCATCTATTTTAATATTGCATTTTTCTAATCAAAGAATTGGTGCTAGCACCTCAATGTTTATTAATTTGCTGGGCAGAGGATGATATGGAGATAGATGGAGATAGATGATGGATTGGAGATAGATGGAATCCGAGCAATTTTCACTATTTGTGTAATCTGATGACAATATACTGACAGATCAGACTTCTTTTGCTATGCTGTAGTGAACTTTGCACATCTAGGTAAATAGAAACTGTTGTTAAAATGTTGGAATGGTTATGTATACTGTGAAACATGATAAAATATTGGATATATTATTATACCATATCAGAAGCAGCAGACTTAAACTTTATTCCTCATAATGTAAATACAGTATTTGAAAATGAAGTCAATTTCAGATATTAAAGTAATCATTTTAATATTTCCTCATTAAGTAGTATAACTGGGTATTTTTATTTTATCATTCTTTTTCTTCATTTATTTCCTTCTGTCTGAAAGCAATACCATTCAAATAAATAATCATTTTAAGGGGCATTCATCAAAGGGACTTAGGAACAGTTTAACAGAAACTTGTGATATATTGTTTGAATATTGTTTTAACTGCATTGTTTGATGTATTTGTTCACTGAATTGTAATTGAGTAAAACAATATGTTAAGAGAAATAACTTGTTCTTGACATAGTTAATCAAAAGTAAACGCCCACTCTCTCTGTTTAGCTAGTAATGGTGAGCCCAACATCCGAACAGTATGATAGTTTACTCCGACAGATGTGGGAGAGAATGGATGAAGGATGTGGAGAGACCATCTATGTTATTGGTCAAGGGTCAGGTAAGTTACTCTATGTGAGCTTTAAAGAAATAGCAGTGATTTTGCAGAAGTAGCTCAATTGATTATGCTTGGGAAAAAGAAAGGCTAATATATAATAAGTATCTTCTTCTCTAATAGAACAAGATGACTTTCTCATCTTCCCATCTAGCTAGTGCTAAACCACACCATTAAAAACAAGCACTGTTTTCAGTTGTCAGTGCTAACTAATTATTAGTTACACATCAATCATCAATGTTCATATTTTCTCCCTGAACAAAACTGGAATACTATCCTTTATGAACAGTGTATGTATAGAAATAATGTGCTGCTTTTTGATAAAGGATGTTCAGAATATCCATATAAAATGAAAACAATACAGGGACTCCTCAATTTACGACCACAATTGAGCCAAAAATTTCTGTTGCTAAGTGAAACATTTGTTAAGTGAGTTTTACCCCATTTTATGATCTTTCTTGCCACAGTTTTAAGTGAATCACTGCAGTTAAATTAGTAACATGGTTAAGTGAATCTGGCTTCCCCATTGACTTCGCTTGTCAGGAGGTCACAAAAGATGAACCCACTGACTCCAGGACACTGTAACCATCATAAATATGAATCAGTTGCTAAGCATCTGAATTTTGATCATGTGACCATGGGGATACTGCAACGGTCATTAGTGTGAAAAATAAGTCACTTTTTTCAGTGACATAACTTCAAACTGTTACTAAATGAATGGTTGTAAGTCAAGGACTACCTGTAATACGGAGGTATTTCTTGCCCAATTGGAGGGTGTAATCTGTAATTTTAGGATTGCATGTAGCCTCTAAACTCCTTTTCCCTTTGATAAATCAAATAAACAAGGGCTGTATAGAAAGGCAGCTATGTGTGTTTGGGTGGGTTAGTATTCTGCTGGTAGAAAAAATGAATGACAAAGGAAAGAATGGGAGGTTATATCAATGAAATATGTACTTACCCCCTCCCAGGCCACATACCTCCATGTCCTACAGCTTGTTTTTATATGCTTTTATTTATTAAATTTATATGCCATGCACCTTACTGTCAAGTGACTCTATAAGCATTTGGAATAAAATTTGAGTTTTTATTCTTCTACCATCATCTTGCCTGTTTTAATCAATGTCCTTTAAGTATACAGTCTTTTTTTAAAATAATAGAATTCCCTAGTCTATTAACAGACCAGGAAGGGCAAACTAAATCTGTTACAATAAGTTCATGTAACTGTTTCTCCTTCCTAATGCTTTATTAGATGGGACTGACTATGGGCTTAGTGATGGAGACATGGAAGCTTCCTATGCCACAGTGAAGAGCATGGCAGAACAAATAGATGCTGATGTAATTCTCTTGCGAGAGCACCAAGAAGCAGGAGGCAAAGTGCGTGATTATTTGGTGCGGAAACGTGTGGGTGACAACGATTTCCTAGAGGTCAGGTAAGAAGAGATATGGAGGCTTGCTTAGTCAACATGATATCTGCGGCTATAGCTTGTACTAGTAGTGGCAGAAAGCTGGTAACTCTGGTTTGACTATGGAAGTAACTTGGTGTCATAATTTTTTCTCTCCTTCACGCTATGCATAGAACTTATGGTTGGGACTAAGAGTATATATTCTTACAAAGAAGTGTCTGGATGGCAGTTTCCTAATTATCATTAGAACATTGCAAGTTGTATTTTTCATATCCAACAAAAGGCAAACATTTACTTTCTTTATAGATTTTTCAACTAAGTTAATCTGTCTTAAACTGTCTTATATATTTATGCTCTGGAACAGGAGTTATTTTTACTGTGGATAGACACAGCATATTAAACTAAAATGTAGTTTATTTGGTTTGGATATAGTGTTCTGGTGAGCTCAGCCACTCAACAAACCAGTATTATGTATGAACCAGATCATGAAAATATGCTCATGATGAGAGTTTAAACACATTTGGAAGCATTCCATGAATCTGGATTTTCAGATTAAAAGTTGATACTGGTGTCTTAAGTTGTTCACCTTTTTCTTATCTTTACTCAGTTGGCACATAGCAGCTCTTGAAATTTGATCCTGACGCTTAAGAACTGGAAATATTTTTCCAGTTTTGTTTAATAGTACTTGGTGAGTATCAAGATGAAAAACTTATGCCATTCTTATTAGCTTTATGGAAATATAGTAGGAACTTGGAATGTACTTAAGAATTTCTTCCAACTCAATTCTAATTTGCAATTCATTGGCAAATGCTGTTTATACAATCTCTTTCACTCTTTGCCTCCAAAATGTATATGGTTAATGGGGTATCTTTAAAACACATAATGTTGATGTACACATTAAAAGGTAAAGTTATAAATTCAGACTGATTCCTAGAGACTTCATGAATATGTGCAAGTTGTTTACTTGGTCACAGTATAGAAGTGGTTCACTACTGCTTTCTTTTGGGGCTGCTATTGTCTTCTCACCACAGTTCTGGACTCCTGTGATGATCTCCCAACCAAGTACTAAATAAGTATGACCCATTTAGTTCTTAAGGTTAGCAAAGGTTGACTCTGGGCAAATCATTCAATGAGCTGTTTCCTTAATGAGTATAACACTCCATTGGATCCATCCTTTAAAAAACTTACAGCTAATTGAAGGGTCAGGACAGCATTTTTGAGATGTTCTTAAGATCTGCAGGGCATCTGTAAGTGATGTTTTCACTCAGGTTGCCATTATGACTGTGTCAATGTAAAACATTTGTAGATAGGTACAGGACTAACATGCCATGTGCCAGTTATATACAGTAGGGACTCTGGAATATGTACTTATACAGTATGTTCACATTGTGTAATAGGCAGTCAAGAAAGAAAACAGTCCAGCTTGGTTAGGATTTGGCCATGATGTTAGTGATTCAGTATCTGTGAAAGGAAAATGTCCTAATAATAAAAATCCCTTGTGTTTCCTACATTGTGAGAGCAGTCTTTTTTATCCTATAGCCTTTAGGATGTGTTGCATTACAAATAGTCCGCAGCTTACAACCATTTGTTTAATGACTGTTCGAAGTTACAATGGCATTGAAAAAAGTGACTTATGACCATTTTGCTACAACTGTTGCAGCATCTATATGGTCACATGATCAAAATTTGGCCACTTGGCAACTGGCTCCTCTTGCAGCATCCCAGGGTTATGTGATCACCTTTTGTGACCTTTTGACAAGCAAAGTCAATAGGGAAGCCAGATTCATTTAACAACCATATTACTAACTTAACAACTGCAGTGATTTACTTAACAACTATGGCAACAAAGGTTGTAACATGGGGCAAAATTCACTTAATAACTGTCCTGCTTTGCAATAAAAATTTTGGGCTCAATTGTGGTTGTAAGTTGAGGACTACCTGTATAACTTCCAGAAGGCCTAATTAATCATGGGAATTGTAGTCCAACCTTGCTAGCAGGAGGACTCAGATTGGGAAGGGTCATGCAGGAATATCTAATTTCCAAAAGGGAATATGATTTTCTGAATTTGCAGTTTCCTGCTTTGAACTTAGTTCCAGGTCTGATGGACATATTCAAGTTCTTGAAGTTTGTTGGCTATCTTTTTTTTTTCAAATTTATAAATTTTTGAATCAAGCTCTGATTCAAATTTTCTCCTTCCCCATCTCTCCCCATATCCACTTTTAGCAATAGCAGAGTTAGGCATTAAGATACAGAAATTGGGTCAGGGATTCAAGAAAGTAACTTGGTGACTTGTTTGTTGTATCATTCCAGCTAATCTCAATCTACCTCATTGTTGCTAATGGATAAAATTAGAGGAATACTCTGATGAGAAAAAGCAAGATGTAAATGTAATAACTGCTACTGAATGATCAATTTCAGTATCTCATTGTACAGTATGGTATGCTGCAGACCATATGTTACTTTATAGCATAAGACATGGTGGTTTTTAGCAGTTGTGCTAGCTCTGAAGAGTTGTAAGACAGAAATTGTAACCCTAGGACATTCTCATTGTGTTGGATTTAGGTTTGAATGAAGACACTGGTATTTGGGAAATAGTTTTGGTACTAATTATGTCATTGTGCACATCCTTGTGAGATTTCAATGTTCTAACTACGGCACTGGTGGCTTTTCCCTCCTTTTCTCTTAGTCTTAGTTGTTTATGTTTTGTATGATCTAGAAACTGGTGATTGGAACCGTATGAAGTGGCTCTTAAAATATTTGTTTCAACATTTTGAATATGCTGCTGATTTTCATTTTATCTTGTGACAGAAGGAAATTGATTCCAATTGTTGCATTGAAGTCCAAGAAATTTATCACTTTCTTTTGCCTTCCTGTAGGGTAGCAGTGGTTGGCAATGTGGATGCTGGGAAGAGCACTTTGCTGGGCGTTCTTACCCATGGCGAACTGGACAATGGACGTGGTTTTGCTCGGCAAAAACTTTTTCGCCACAAGCATGAGATTGAGTCAGGCCGTACCAGCAGTGTGGGCAATGACATTTTGGGCTTCGACAGCGAAGGCAATGTTGTGAACAAGCCTGACAGCCACGGTGGGAGTTTGGAGTGGACCAAGATTTGTGAGAAATCAACAAAAGTCATAACCTTCATTGATCTGGCTGGGCATGAGAAGTACTTGAAGACTACAGTCTTTGGCATGACTGGGCATCTCCCTGATTTTTGCATGCTAATGGTAAGCAATGCTAGTTGTAGGGGAAGGGGGTTGTGGTGAAGCGGCCCCTTTTCTAATGTTGGTCTTGACTCACTAACAGTTGAACAGTTGAGTATAATTTATGTGATAAATGCAATAACAGCAATAATAATAAATAATAGGGTAGAATTTACATACTAAAACTGTTTTTACCAAACTGAACGTTGGAAGCTTCAGTTGTCTGTCTTCTGCTCATGGAACTGTGGTTTGCGGCTTATCTTGATTTTGCAAGGTATTTCTCAGCCTAACTTTGTTTTTGAATTGTACAAAATGTATTTTATTTATTCGTTCAATTTATATGCCGCTCGTCTCGCTATCAAGAACTACTCTGGGTGGCTTACAATATGTACGAAAGTTCCTGCTTAAGTACAAAATGCAAACTTAGTAGAAATATCTCCTTGCTATATGGGAGGATCCCAAAGACATCAGTGTTAATGCATGCAAAGCATGTAAACTCTGACTCCTGTTGGCTTATTGAACATTCTTCCTTATATTGGAAGAGCAAAAAAGAAACTTTGTCATGGTAACTTAATAAGAATTGATTTAGGTTATGTCTGTATCAGTGACTTTACTTCCATGACAGTAGCAAGCAAGCTGTTTCTGTTTGTCATTGTGTGCTGATTCTGAGGTTCATATCCCATCCTAAAATAAAGGGAAGCTTGGGAATTGCATGGAGACAGATACTACAGAGAAGTTTTTAAATGTGGAAAATTGCTTTTAAACATTTTGAATCGACTGGAATATTTACTTCATTAAGACACCTTCTTTCTGGTACATGTCCTAAGTTGTCTGTCTGGATTTCTCTTGAATTATGTTCTTCAAATTATCCTCACAAATGGTGTTATTAACCGTGAAAAATTATTTCTCATATGGCAACTTGATCAACTTTTACTTTGCTACAAATCTTAATTTTTGATGGATTGAAATGCATGTCTATGCCCATCTTTTTTGGCATACACATAAATCATTGCTTAATGCTGTCATAGTCATGGTTGTTTTACCTTAAAATTTATCTCAATACAGGTTGGCAGCAATGCTGGAATTGTTGGGATGACCAAGGAGCACTTAGGTCTGGCATTGGCGCTAAATGTTCCAGTCTTTGTGGTGGTGACCAAGATTGATATGTGTCCGGCTAACATACTTCAAGGTAAATGGTTATTGCTACAACCGTTTCTCTTTGTTGTTTTTATCTCAGTTGTGCCTGAATTTTTCGTCTTCTGATTTCTAATCTGGTTTCTTAATTGCATCAGACTGATTCTCAGTACAAAATATTCCTAGTTTCCCACATCAGCCTTGAGAAAAGCTCAAAGTCACCCAAAGAGCTTTTGTGACTGAGGGCAAGGCTGAACTGCTCAGAGTCATATATGTAAATGTAGTTGTGTAGGCTAAGACTCTTTTCTGATACTGCAGGTGTTGGTTTTTCCAGGCCTTTTATGTAAGGTATGACCTAGGATCCTCTGGAACGCATAGCCAGCTCTGTAACAGAAAACAGAGGCTTTGTTTATCTAGTACATAAAACAACCTACTGGTTGCTTAGCATGATGACTACAATTGGGATTTATTCAACAAACTATGGTAAAATGAACAATAGCTGTGAGCCCAAAGCTGATTGGCAAGCTGGTCTGTTACCAGTAGTCTTAAAAATTGACTCTTTACAAAAATCTATAGATTATAAACTGTTCTTGACATCTGTCTTTTGCAAGAGCATCTTCATTTATTCCTTACTGTGGTAAGTATTCATGGGGAAATTATTTTTGCTGCCAAAGACAAGCTATTGTCTTCGTATAAAAGAACATTGAATGCCAAAGGCACTTAGGTGTGGAATTTACTGTAGTGGGGTATTTCTAAGAGAACAGACTGACCGGAATAGGATGTGTTCTTCAAAGTTATGTTGGTGGATGAATGAGGCTGCCTGCTCCTGGGCAAAAATTGCATCCATTAGTCTCTTTCTATATTGTTATGGTGATAAAATGGATATTCTGGGCTTCCTGGTGTCTCTATTTATTTTACCATTTTAATATTGAGAGCTAAAACCAGACTGCAGGGAAGCAGTGGTAGATTGAAGACCGCTTTGCTTTTTGTGGAATGAAAAGCCTTGAAATTCTGGATAAAGGACCTGGGATCACCCACAAGAGCGTCATAGAGATGCTGCCTGCAAGGAGACCATAAAATAATGGTCTCCAGTGGGTGTTAAGAGTTCTGGGAGCATAGTGAAAACCAGCTTTGCCCAGTTTGGAACTATCAAATGGACACTGGTTTCACCCACTTCCTCTCCTAAATCATTTTAGGAAATGGCTTGTTAACTGCTTTTTGGATATTACGAACCTTCAGAATATCTTTCATCACACCTTCAACCCCCTAGTGAAAGAAATTTCATGTAAATTTAAGAACTTAATTTTTTAAATTCGGAAATAAAGAGCAAAAGGGTGATTATGTTGATTTTGAAAATGTTTAAAAAGATCGAGGGGTTAAATGGATTGGAAATAAGATTTTGAAACCAATTGGATTGTTTAAAATTATATTAAAATACTAGCTGTACCCGGCCACGCGTTGCTGTGGCTCAGTCTGGTAAAAGTGTGTGTTGCTTTTACGTCCAACAGATGGCGCTGTTTTTCAAAAAAGCATGTTTTTACCTGTCACAGGTGTGACATCTATATAATACAGGTATATAAAAACACACGCGTATTCGAATGCAACGTTGTGTCAAAATTTCAAAGCAATCGTTGAAGAACTTTCAGAGATTTAAGATTTTGAACAAACGAACATTTACATTTTTATTTATATAGATATAGATATTTAAGGATTTTGAATCTAAGTGTAAGAAATCTTCCTGTGTAAAAATGTTGTGGGTAAAGGCAATCAGAAAGAGTAAAAGATAATTAAAGGAGAAGAGACCCACTAATACAGAACAGAGTAAAGTATTTTAACTTTGGAAGAATTAAAGAATATTTGGTAACGGGGCACTTTCTCTTGCTACCATAAAATAGGTTTTAAAAGAACAGATAGATAGAAGAAGGTATAAGTGAGAACCAGGCTGTTTTGGATATGGATTGAAAAATAACAAGATACAAGAATGATATGGAAAAAGATGTTATACAGGACTTACAATGAAACCCTTAATGTCTTAATAAATAAGGGGGACAAATAATAGAAGAGTGACTTGAAGAATTTTCTTATTTTGGATTTATCAAGAGATGTACTGTATTACACTCATGAAGGAATTCCTGAGATAAAACAAAAAAATGAAAAGAAATCAGCTACTATTTAAAGGGAATAAACTTCTAGATTTTTAAAAGAAAAAAGAAAAAAATATAAAATTGGCTTATTCGACTAAGATTTAAAAAATACGTATGATATTCTTTTTAGTAGCTTGGGTTTTTTTTTAAACCAGGACTGAATGAGGAGGTTTTAAATACTTGTTTATAGATAAGATATCAGAAGAAGGGGGGAGGTTGTGTGTCTCTGTGTATTTTCAGAGAAAGTGATAAGTTATGGTGTTAAAAGTAAAGGATTACAGAAGTTGGCTTACATAATTAAGATTAAAATATATATGTTGTTACTTCTGTATATGTGTTAAACTTGCAAGAGAGTTTCTAAGAGGAGACAAAAAAAATAAGACATGAACTTCAATCAAAGGGATTAAAGATGATGATTTTAAATTTGTTGCTTTTTCTAGTAGCTCTTAAAGGGTTTTTCTTGACAGTTCAAAAGAGGAGGCAAAATATGTTTATATATAAGAGATAAGATATGGGAAGATTTTTTTGTAATAGAGAAAACAATAAATCATTGTGTTGAACAGAATACAAATTGATTTATTTGATTGTAGTTGAACTATATATGTTGCTATTTTGGGTAACTCTTAGTGGACTTTTGCTGATTAAGATTGAATGACCAGTCTTCATAATTTGTTCATAGATGAGAATGAGATATGGGAAGACGAGATCTTTTGAAATGTTGAAGAAGGTGATCAACCACTAAAAATGAAGGGGGCAGTCATTTCATGTTTTTTTTCTTTTCCTTATATATTTTTTCTTTCCCATCCTTTTTTGCATCTTTCATTTTTTATTTTTTATATTTTCTTTTAGTTTGTATTTTTTAAAATTTAATAAAAATATTATTGAAAATAGATACTGAGAGCAAAACGAGATCCTAGACCACATGACAAGATTAAATCTTGTAAAATTTCTTAAACTATTAATTGTATTTTGTGAAATTAAGTTGTGGTCAAAGTAATAATGCAGATTAAATTCTACCTATAAGAATTGTTTTATTTTAGGACTGATTTTTTTTAAAAAAGGTACATATTATAGAGAATAAAAGTTGTAAGCAAGCAGAAACAAGAAGCTGTTTTAGTCCATCCAAAGTTCTTATTAATTTTTAAAATTTAATTTGATTAAAGTAAGTCTGTAACTTACTTTCTAAATTCTAGCTCTACTTAAGACTTCTTTTTTTCTCCTTTTAAATAAATTTTAAAATCCCGGTGGTCCAGGCATGTAAATATTTCAAATAAATTGAAAGTGTACATATCTGCTGTATAACTCTGGAACAGTTTTTATATAGTACTTGATTAGTTCTGAATATGAGCCATTGTGCTATTTGCAATGTTGTCAGCTGGAGAACAAATGGTCCTGCTGGCAAAATTGTAAGGGAACTGTCATCCAGGAGCCTGCTTTGACAAATGGAAGATGATTCTGTCCTCCGCCCCCCCCCCCTGCTCTCAGTTAACCCTATCAAAATTAAGTGCTACAAACAGGCCTAATTGTTTTCATTTTGTTCATGAAGAAACTCTGAAGCTCCTGCAACGACTTTTGAAGTCCCCAGGATGCAGGAAGATCCCGGTGTTGGTCCAGAGCAAAGATGATGTTATCGTTACTGCCTCCAATTTCAGCTCTGAAAGGTGATTAATGAAAACAAGCTGAATCCCAATTTGATAACTTACAACAGAGATGAAAGACTTCCAGGAAAGCCCTGTGAAATCCATGTTTTTTTAAAAGCAAATCTAAGTAGACCCTCACAATCCTATCATTTTTCTATAATGGAAGTGGGTGGTTCTTTTACAGTTGTAGCTCCCTATTTTGCCAGCCCTAGGATTAAAAACATGGTGAGATTATTGAATCAGAAATGCAATGTTATATGACTTGGGTATACTACCAGTGTTAGGGGCAGCAGGAATAACATACTTGGAGTCCCTGGAAGGGTAGGGGTTTTCAAATTGAGTCCTCATCTTCTGGAAGTCTGATGAACAGACTTGAAAGGCTATTTGAATGAATCAGACTCATTGTGCTCTTTACATTGTTGTCAGCTGGGGAATAATACCAATAGCCCAGCTGGCAAAATTGTAAAGGAACCATCACCTAGGATCCTATTTTGACAAATGGAAGGTGATCCTTCTCCATCTCTCTTCTCTTTCCTACTCTCAACTAATCCTATCAAAGCTGCAGTTTTTTTCTTGGCTTCCATATCCAAGCACATGTCCATGCACAGAGGGAGTGTGCTGTTCCAGAGCTCCAGCAATGCTAAATCCACTGGCATGACCAATATCTGGTGTGTGCTGATTTGTTGGTCTCCACCACCTCATTCTCAACCTTTCCCTTTAACAAAGCTTGATGGCTTTCTGGGGGAAGGTCAAACAGGTGGGCAGGAAGCAAAAGTGTAAAGGTAGAGAGATGCCATTCCCCTTCTCTCTGGTTTCACTTTCTCCCAGTTAACAAGGAGAAATCATTGGGCCAGAGCAAGCGAAAAGACAGGTGGAGGACAAGGAGTACTGCTTAGTGTTGCCAGGTAGATCTCTATTTGTATTTCCAGCAACTGAGCAGGAGATAGTCTGGCTGCTGGAGAGAGAGAGAGAGAGAGAGAAGGCAGTTACTCCTTGTGCCTTGTTCTGCTCCTGCTTGTTGAGCTGCAGCTCCTGCTAGTGCCCTCACTACCTGAGAGAGGATGAAGCAGTGTGGCAATTTCTCAGCTCATCACCAGTAGGACCAAAGTAAAGCTATGGAGAGGCAGCCAGGGCTGCAGCACTGTCTCAACTTTGGATTGGTTGAAATGAAGTCTCATGTATGACCAATGCAAGTCATCTTTCATGTATAACTGATGCAACCTTTTCTTTGACACCTACTTCTTGGTGAAGGGAAGCTTAGAGAAAAAGAGAAGGAAAGATGTCACTTGATTTTCCTTCATTCATGGGCAAGAAAACAGTAATGTGAAAGTATTTGATCTTCCCCAGATGAAAAACAACTCAGCATCATCCCAAGCAGTCTTCCATAGCATGGGCTTGTGGGCGGTTGAGCATGGGTCCTTGATGGTGATGGGAGACTTGCTGTGAGAAGGAGTGTTGGAGCAGGTTCTTCCTGCAAGGCAAAAGCTGAAAAAAGATTATTTGGGGGCACAACTGAGGCTAAGGAGGCAGAAGTGAGCTGCAACAACCCTGGTTGGGATATCCAGGGCTTTTTTTTTTTTTTGTCATAGAACGCCCAGAACGGAGTTCCGGCACCTTTTTTGGATGGAACCTTGTAGGGTAGGCAAGGCAGGTTGTATGACGTGTGTGAGTTCCGGCACCTTTTTTTTTTTTTTTTTTTTAGAAAAAAAGCACTGGGGATTGGAGAGATATCCAATTAGGCCACTTCTGCCTTTACTAAGAAAAAGATTGGAAATTTGATCAGAGGGTGGGTGGAAATAAATGTAATGTAGTTTCCTTGGAGATTAAACTTCTATTTGAAAGATGCTGTTTCTGCAGCAGGCAGTTTGTGGCCTTTCCGGTATTGCCAAATGATGGTGCCCATAATCCTTCAGACTTGGCTGGACTGGCTGGAACTACTGGAATTTGCAGTTCAGTAACTCCGAAGGGCCACAGATTATAAATTAAAATGTAACAAAAGTGGTATTTTTTCATCCAAGCCTAATCCAATGAAATCATTAGTTTTATTCATGAAGCAATCCAAATTCATTTATTACTTTAGAGTAGCGGTGGGCAACTATGGCCTGTTTACGACCTGTGGACTTCAGCTCCTAGAATTCTTGAGCCAGTGTGGCTGGCTCAGGAATTCTGGGAGTTGAAGTCCACAGATTGTAAAAGGGCCATAGTTGCCCATCCTTGCCTTAGGGCAGGGGTGTCAAACTGGCGGCCCGCGGGCCGGATGCATCGTGCGCAGGCCACGCCCACCCCGGCTCCACAAAGGCAAAAAATTTGCAATATGTCATGCTATGTCACGTGACACGATCGAGTTTGACACCCGTGCCTTAGGAGATCACAGAATGGCAAAGTGTGTGAAGCCCTGTTGCAGGGCACCTTTCTTCCATCACTAGGTATATTTGTTATATCATCTAGAGATGTACCAAACATAAAGAACAAGATAGTAAAGAGCCCTGAATAATTTGTTTTGTAATAATTTTTTTTTCTCATTAGGATGTGCCCAATCTTCCAGATTTCCAATGTCACTGGTGAGAATTTGGAATTGCTGAAGATGTTTCTCAATCTCCTGTCTCCAAGGACAAGTTACCGGGAGGAAGAACCTGCGGAATTCCAGATAGATGACACTTATTCTGTGCCAGTAAGCAGAAGTATTCTAGAAAAATGTTTCTCTCATCTTTTTCAGAGATGAGAAAAGTAAAGAAATTATCTGCTATTTGCTGTCCTAACTTGATTCCCTTTTTTTCCTTTTTTCCTTTCTTCCTGGCATAGGGTGTTGGAACAGTGGTATCTGGGACAACCCTGAGAGGCCTAATCAAGTTAAATGACACTTTGCTTCTGGGCCCAGATCCGCTCGGCAACTTCTTGCCTATTGCAGTGAAATCCATCCATCGCAAGCGCATGCCAGTCAAGGAGGTGCGGGGTGGTCAGACTGCTTCCTTTGCTCTGAAAAAGGTGAGTGCCAACTTGCTATGGGTCTACTTTCTTGGAAAGCATTTATATTCAATGTCTAACAAAGCAATGGTAAAGATGTGAATCCAGAAGTATATAGATTCTGGGTTAAGGGGGTTTATTCCTTGGTCTGTATATTTAGGATGGCTAAGGTATAGCAAGTTTCGTCTGCAATTACACACCAAAATTGCCTCCACTGAAAATGAGTTAATGAGAAATACGATAGAGATTTATATGCATGTGGAACAGGCAGTCCCTTTTATTTTCTTCCATAATTTTCTTTCTACTTGTTAATCTTACTTAATTTTTTAGGAAATGGATTGAGTTCAATTGGATTTAGTCCCAGATAAGTAAGTGTAGAGACCTAAGTTGGCATAGTAGTTTAAGGCACAAGGCTAGAAGATGGGAATCCACGAGTTCTAGTCCTGCCTTAGGCACAAAGTCAGCTGGGTAGCTTTGGGCCTGTCACTCTTTCTCAGTCCTAGGAAGAAAGCAATGGCATATCACTTCTGAAAATCTTGCCAAGACGTAAATGGTTTTGACCAAAACCATTACCTTAAGTTATTCTTCTTGGGATGGTTTCCTGCTTGGGTAGTTGGATGGATGGCCATCCTACTGCTTCCCAGAAGAGGTTGTATTTAAAGAGCTGGTGTAGTCTTCCGTAAATACCACAGAAGTATGTTTATTTTCCAGTGAACCTACTTTTGATTTTGATAACTCTCTTTTAATTATTCCACTACCAGATCAAACGCTCCTCTATCAGGAAAGGCATGGTGATGGTATCACCTCGGTTGAATCCTCAAGCCTCTTGGGAATTTGAAGCAGAGATTCTGGTACTTCACCATCCTACCACTATCAGTCCACGTTATCAGGCAATGGGTATGTGACGTTGCTTTCCATGTCTTTATATACACTTGTTGCAGTTTAGCTTGAAATATTAAATATATTACTGGTAGTGGTTATTCCCCATAAGGGTAGGAGTGCACAACATAGGTTCAAGACCATCTTCTGAAGCTATTGCTGCAGTTCCTTATGCTCTAAATTGTAAAATTAAATTAGATTAGGAGAATTGCTGTTATCTTAATCCTTCCCTCCCCAAACCGTACATTAAGAGGCCAGGTGCAGCTCTTAATATTTTGCATCTCTAACTTAAAACACCAGCAATGAGCAAAAGAGCACTATTCATTGTGAAACTTTTGGAATGTGGCAGAACATCAAGATGTTGGGTGATTCATGTCTAGATTGCTTGACTTGCACCATTGTAGAAATCCCATTTTAGTGCTAGATTTGACGGATGACCGGAAGGGGAGGGGGGAAGGGAATGACTGCATGTGATTTTTTTTAACCTGTATGTGACAAGATACAGGCTTTTGAGGAAAGTATGACATATGTTAGGCCTTCAGATTTGTCACTGGAGAAATCCTTCACCGGGATGCCAGTAGGCAATGAAGATCTGGGCTCACTAGGGAAAGTAACAAGAGTAAAGTTTTGATGTTGATCCTGTTAGTCAGAGATGCAGATACATAACAAAGGAAATTGAACTTTTTTGTGTGGTGAATTAATAATATTCATGTATATTGCCAATATTTGTTTCCTTGGGGATATTCTGAGTGCCAGTGAGATTCTTACTGTTTCTAGTACATTGTGGTAGCATTCGCCAGACAGCCACTATCCTTAGCATGGACAAAGACTGCCTGCGCACTGGGGATAAAGCCACTGTCCACTTCCGCTTCATCAAGACTCCAGAGTACTTGCACATAGACCAGCGGCTGGTTTTTCGTGAGGGGCGTACCAAAGCTGTCGGCACTATCACCAAGGTAATAGTGGATGGGGAGGAATTGCACAGATTGGTACCCGCAGTTCCATAATATCTCTTCTTCATTTAATAAATGGTGTATTGCTTTGATGCCAGTTACTGCTTATTTCTAGTTACTGGTGGGGTACCTAATTGATGTACCATAACAAAATAACAATTTTGTTATTTTCCAGTATCTATATATTTTTTCTTAAAGATTACAGCACGTTGGATGGGATTAACTTTACAGCAGATTCTATGCTTAGATGGTTCTGCTCCCATTTTTTCAGAGCTTTCAGCCCGGTAACTAGAACAAGTTTGAGCATTGTTGTTCAGTAAGAAACTTTAGTCCAGCTTTCTCCAACCCAGTATGCAGTTTGGCAAAATGTTGCTTGTCTATCTGAATTTGTATTTAGCTGTGCTGGAAGGATCCATTGGGAAACTAGTAAGAAAAAAATGGAGTCTATTTCTGCTGTTTTGGGCCTTTCCCTCTTTTTTTAGAGTTGCCGCAACAAGTCAAGTATCTTCTAGACAGCGGTTCTCAACCTGTGTGTCGTGACCCCTTTGGGGGTTGAACGACCCTTTCACAGGGGTCACCTAAGACCATCGGAAAACACATATTTCCGATGGTCTTAGGAACCGAGACATCGCTCCTCTATCTCTCCAGGTGGTGGGTGCGTCCATGCTGGCGCCGAGGCCAGGGTACTGCGGGGTCGGGCGGCGAGGCCGGGTGCTGGCGGAGGAGGGGTGGGCCGCGTGGAGTGAGGCGCGGGGCAGGAGGGCGGCGAGGAGGCGGGCGCTGCTGCTGCTGCTGCTGCTGCTGCTGCTGAGGCGGCCGATCACAACCCAGAAGCGCCACAACATGGAGCGGTGAGGGCGGACAGGCAGGCCGAGGGGGAGGTGCGGCCCTCTGCATGATGAAATCGCAGGCGGAGCCAGCCCCACCTCAGCCGGCGCAGGGGGCGGCGCCACGCATGTGCGGCGCTCCCAGGCCGAGGCGGTTGCTGGGCGACGGCCCACGTGCGCCCTCGGCTTGCCCGGCGCACGCTCCAGCCGCAGGAGAGGAGGCAGAGCGCACGTGCCAGAGAGAGAGAAAAAAAGTGAGAGAGAATGAGAATGACCAAACCCCGTCCCTCCTCCTGCCCCCGCCCGCAGGGGTCGCAGCATTAGGAAGGTTGAGAACCACTGTTCTAGAATTTTCACTCCATCCAAAATGGAATCTTCTTAGGTGCCCTGCATCAGTGTTCTGTCTGTTGAAATAAAATATTGCTGCAATACCTATATTTTCCAAAGGCTTGCAAACCCAGTTATAGTTCTATGTCGTTTAAGTCTTACTTCTGTTTGGAATTAAGGTATTATCCCAATGGATTCTTCGTATTTATAAATGCAGTGTGCCAACCATCCTTTTTTAAGCATGACAAATTCAGAAGGTCCTGGTTGCCAAATCAAAATATAATTTTATATATGATCCAAATAGATCAATTGAATCCTATGTACAATGAAATGGTTTAAATATTGTTCTGCTGTTAAAATCTCTCTTTTACATAATGTTTGGCCTTCCCTATCAGCTCCTGGAATAAAAAAAAAAATAGACTAACTATAGTCTCTTCTTGCTTCAGGAGTTGTATGAGATGAGAGAGCTTAGCTTCTTTTTCTAAGTATCTAAAAGTCTAACTAAAGTCACATCAACTTTGCTTGTTTGATTCTATGCTTTAAAATAAAACCCAGCACTCAACAAAGATCCTGATTCTGGTTATCTGTTTTTGACGGGCAGTTACTCCAGACCACCAATAATTCTCCTATGAACTCGAAGCCCCAGCAAATAAAGATGCAGTCTACAAAAAAAGGACCCTTGACCAAGCGCGAAGAGAGTGGAGCCCAGGCTGGCATACCAGTGCTGACTTCCACTGTGGCAGAGGATGCAGCATCACTGGCAGCAGTTGCCCCAGCACCATCTGGTGCTCAACAACCACAGGTAGATAAAGTGGCCTGGGCAGTGCCTTTGTGCCCTTGTCAATGTCATCATACCTTTCCCAGGCTTACCTTAAAGGAGCCACAGTTTCTCCACTGATTTTGGCCAAGTTCATATTAAGAAAGTGCTTTTTAAACTAAACCTTGTTGAACAAGCCTTCGTATCCTGATTCACGTTCCCTGTTAAGTCAGAAGAAAATAACCAAGCAGGGTGTAGTATGTTCATTTTTAATATTGTATGTTCTCATTTGTTTTTTCTGTCCAGAATTGGTATGATTACATCAGGGGTCCTCAACCATGGCCACTTTAAGACTTGTGGACTTCAACTCCCAGAATTCCTCAGCCAGCAAAGCAAAGCTGGCTGAGGAATTCTGGGAATTGAAGTCCACAAGTCTTAAAGTGGCCAAGGTTGAGGACCCCTGGATTACATCATAAAAATGGGTGCCAACATAGGCACAGATGCCAGGGCAATAATCTTGTAGCCAAGGAAGCTGCTTGTATCTTTGTTTCCTTTTAAAATGGAAGCTTATTTTTCATGCATTCCACAGTGAACATCATACACTTTTTATTTAGTTCAAAGTGAGACAGCTGTTTGTCTGCCTCAGGTTTAAGTGTCCTACTTAATTGTTCATGGGCTGTTAAATCTTTTCCACATGAGCTTGCAGTTCTTTTGCAGTGTGTGGATCCAACTGTTTCCTTTATCTTTACGATGTGGATTAATACAGTAAAGATTTGCTGAGAGAGTCTTATTTTACAGTTGTCCCAACGTGTAGAATGAACTCCCTTCTGAATTACGGAGATTTCCTTGAATTATATTGAAGGCATAAAATGTATCCAATTCAAATTTCTGTTTTGGCAAGAGGGGTTTACAGTTTTGTGAGGTTTTCCTTTGCAGAATTTTATAGCATTCTATTGTACTTCAAATGTTAAGATGCCATTGCAAACTTTGGACAGGTAGCAGAAATTTGTTAAATTGACAAAAACTTAAGAGCTTTAGCCTAGCAGTGCTCCTTAATTCAGATACTTGTGCTCTGTGTGTGCAATCATTATTTATCTAGCATGTCAATCTCCTTTCTTCCTTTGGCCTGTGTCTGCCTTTGTTTTGTCTCCTGTCATGTGTTGTCTGTCTAGTGCTTTCCAGATGAATTGGAATAGAACTTTTATTCTCTCAATCTTTGTCCATATCCTAGTTGTCTGTCTTGGTTATTATCTGTGTCTGTCCTGTGTTCAGCTTACCTCTGCTTTTCTCTTCCCAATGCTTTCCTTCAGCCTGCATTGGATGAAGAACCCCACAATCAAGAGGGAAATAAGGTATTTCCTCTACTATGGCTTATATGCCTTAGGAGCACAGGCTGTGGAGTGAGCTCTAGTCATAACCTTTAAATTGAATTCTCATGAAGCTCAGGAACCTTCAGCTTGAATTGTTACGAAAATGCTTTCTCATCCTCTCATTTCTCATTTATTATTTGATTTTATTTACAGTTTGTTTTGTCACAAATTTCAAAGGAACTTACAGTGGAAAGAGAAATACCCAAATAAAACCTAAACTATACTAGTAATGTTAGGGTAGCTGACCATCAAATACTCTTGTATTACTGGTCTTTAATTCGTGGTGGAAATGCTCCATGCCCACTTTATTTTGCTGCAGTGTTTGTTCCACTTAGCAGTTACAACAACAGAGAATATCCCACCATCACGACTATAAGAAAGCATCAGCGAGATGTCCTCTTCTGAATTGGACTGGGAAGGCTTATATGGAAGATGTTTTTTATGGGGCTTATACATATCCAATACCTAACACTATGACTTGTGTTTGTGCATTTTTTTTTTCAATTTCTTTGGTCGTTCAAAATCTCTTGTCCATCTTATTCTAACTTGGCCTCTTTTTTCTCCCCTCCCCCTTTCCCCAGGCAAAGGTTGGAGGTGGTGGCCGGAGGCGTGGTGGCCAGCGTCATAAAGTGAAATCTCAAGCAGCTATTGTGACTCCAGCTGGTGGCTGCTGAACATCTTTTCAGTAATTGAGAAATTCACATCTCCCCCTCCATTTCTTCAATTCAGAAACCCGGAGCAGCTTAACCAAAATCCTTTGCAGCTGATCTTCTACTGTGGAAGATTTGGGGGGGAAGGGGGAGGAGGTTCCAGGGAATGTGGGTTTTCCATTGAAGCTAATGAAGGTGACAAAGAACAGTGGGACTGACCAGCAGCCACCTTCTCCCTTTTCCTAAAACATTTTGTACACCTCAAGCTCTTAGTCATGATTTTTATGTTTTTATTATGGTGGTTTGTATGTGAGTGTGCTTGTGAGCATGTGCATTCAGGAGAATGCAGGTACAGAAAAGTAAGTACCTGTGTCTTCTCCATTCTCATGTTCATCATTAGGTTAGCTAACTTACTCTTTTGCAGTTGGGAATTTCTGAAATCCCAACTCTTTAAGAGTAAGAATATGTGATATTTGGCTGGGAGGAGATAGCAGTTCTTCCCCCATGTTTCCAATGGTTTGAAACAGATACTAGGTCTCTCTCGCTGTAATTTCCCCATGACCATAGTTGGTAACTGTCACAAAGGAAACCTCCCAAACCAGCCTCATCCCAAATCTTAGATTTCAATGAAATCCTAGAAGTTAAGTGTGTATTTGTAAGCTTGTTTGCACGGACTTCATCCTTCTGAAAGAAAAGGAGAATTTTGAAAGTGAGATTTGGAGGCTGAAGAGAATTTCATATTTTGTATATTATGTTCAGAATTTATCTTTTTTCCTACAGAGCAAACTGTAGAGGCTTCTTTATTACCAACTGCCTGCTATATCTAGTTTTGCACCCAGCTATGTGGGCACATTAGGAACAAGAGAGCAAGAGTGCAAGGTTGTTTCTGGTTATTTGCCCATTTATTTTCATGGCTTCCAAACCAATTTGAAGGCCACATTTCCTACATACCAGGAATAGATGCTATTGACGGCCTCTGCATATTCAGCTCCCTTCATATTGCAGAAATAACTGCCTGTTTAATTAATTTAATGCTTTAGAAATCAACTTAGAAACTTGTTTCAGTCTCCATATTTTTCCTGTGGCAGTTACAGAGATTTCATAGAGATGGGCTGAGGTTTCTTGAATCCACCATTAAAACTTAAAGTCATAGTTGTGATTTTATAACTTTAGTAGCGTGTCTCTTCAAAGCACGCATTCTTGAACTGACTTATTTTAACTGCATCATGTTTTTAAAAAGGAGAAAGCATGAAAAAAAATTGTGGTTTCTAGTTAACTGGTTTGTAACTTTGAATAGCATTTTTCCCTACAACATAGTGTTTCTTAGATTTATTCCATCCTAACCATTTTTGGAATGACCAGTCTTTTTTAAGTTATAAACATTAAAGAGCAGGTAGGACTACTTATGCCATCTTCCCAAATTTGATACGCTGTACATCTGTTGAATTACAATTCTCCAGCAAGCATGATTAACAAATATGCTGCATGGGATTCATGGACATTGCAGACCAATCTATATTGAAGACGCCAGATTAAGGAAAATTGCTATACCTGTCTTGCTTTTTGAACATGATGCTCAGCACCTGCAGCATTAAGAGCACCCTGTAAGGACAAATCATTATGAGGATGATTAATGCAAGGTAGCAAACCTGTGCTATTGCTTTTTACTCTGTATTACATCTGTCTCCTTTACCTTCCAGTACCAAGGAAAGCAGAGGCTTTAGTCTGGTGTCTTCTTTACTTCGTTTCTTTGTTCAGAAAGATGATTGTACAATGCTGGCAAGCATTAAGAAAGTCACAGTGCTGTGTTCTCCTTTTTGAGCCGCACATAAGGACTACTGAGGCTGGCATGGTGTCAACATTAAAAAGAACAATTTGGTAAAAAAAAAGAAGAAAATCTTGTTGTTCTCTCCATTTTAAAGGAAATGAGGTATTACTTCACTAATCCTGGTTCATAAAATGTAAATCAGGTTAGATGTAATTTGTAAATACGTTTTATATGGCTGAGGTTTCTTCTCTGAAAAGTCTTGAAGGCTAGCTGGTTGTTCTCCTGAGCTGGAGATTATTAAATACTTCCAGCACCTTGTAGAAAATCAAATTGACAAAAGAAACTTGTGCCATAAGAAAACTCCTGCTGAATCAAATATGCCTTTTTCTATATTGTGACTTAAGGGGGAGTTCAAAAGCATGAGCAAAGTCAGGTTTTATAACTGGTATTTAGCAAATGCTGCCTTTCATTCTGAAACCAGTAGCTATTGATAAGCTAGTCCTCTACAGATTTGACTAGCTTTTAAAAAAAAGATCTAAACCAGTATCATGAATCACATTCATCTATAGAAGCAAATTCTATGTGCGTTATAAAGAATTATCTTGCATCTCCCTGAGTTTCACACTGATGCATGATTGCCAAGTTCTGGTATTTTTAGGAAAAAAATTTACATAGCTTTTATATGCATTTATCAATTTTTAAATGAAAACTAGTTTGTAGTCTTTTCAAGCTAGAAGAAAACTTAATTATTTTGGGTATCCTATTTACATCCTTCCTAGCTCTACAAAAGAAATGCAATGACCAGAACTGTATGAAGTATTCCAAGGGCTATTCATAACAGCTGTTCATAAGAAATGTGCACAATTAAAAAATAAGTTCAAAGCTATTGCTATTTCGAAAACCTCAGATTGGAAAAGTTGCAATCCTGATTTTAGTTAATCCTTGACATCAAATGTTTTCTTAAAATTAAACTACAGTAGTTTAAACAGCAGTATAAATTGCTTTTTTAATTATGTAACCTTTTCATCAGATTGGCCTTCCTCCGGTCCCTTCTATCATAGAAGAATTGTATTGACATATGAGAGGGGGATATCTGTATGCATGTGGTCTGTGGTCTATTTGACAGAAACCTTTAGTGCCATTATTCTTTGATCAGAATTTTTATTCTACTGTACTTCTACTTTACTCCTCCCTGACACACAAAAACTCCCTTATTCACTAATGACTAGTTTCACCACATTTAAGAAAAATCATTTATTGATTTATCTTGCATAGGTATAAATTACAACAAAAATAGCAGACTGTGTAACATTTGTAACCTAGATACATAGATACACTCCTCCCGACCCTCAATACAAATAAATTTCTTAGGAGTAGGACTTATTATTACAACCGTTAATCTGTGGGGTACCTTCCTAAGGACAAAAATAAGTCTGGAGAAGTCACATTTTTCATATTTCACTTCTTTATCCACTTGAAAAACATCCTGTATAAAAGCATTTCTGATGGTAACCTTTGCATATGTATAGTTATAGTTACTATAATGCTTCCCAGTCAGCAGTCTTAATTAGCCATCTGTACTTTAGTACCTTCAAATGTATGACTCCTATGAGTGGTCTGTGGCTATGTGAAAAAGGTTAGGTATGCAAGTAGTGAGAGTAGTTGCGTGCAAATGACAAGTGAAGGCACTGGCACCATAAAAGTGTAATACTTGTAAGGCAGGGGTGGGAAACAATGGTCCCTTTACAATCTGTGCACTTCAACTCCCAGAATTCCTGAGCCAGCCATGCTGGCTCACGAATTCTGGGAGTCGTAGTCCACAGGTCAGAAAGGGGGCATCGTTCCCCACATCACTGTTGATTTGGTACCACTGGATTTTCAGTCTGGTTGTATTTTACAACATGTTTAAATTAAAAGGCTTGGTTAATAAATGCACATGTGTAGCTATATCATCCCTACCATATGGAGGTCTTAAACCAAACTTACTGGTTGAACCAAAATGGTGTCCAGAAATTAACTTAAAATAAAACTTAATCTCAGGCCCCAGATTGGAGAGCCTCCAAGTGAGGCACCTGGACATGGTGATAAGCCATGAAGTTTGACTACAGGACAATAAGATCAGGTGGGCATAAAATACTAGGAAGTGCTCCTTAATTATTAAGCCTTTTAACTTTTGT